GTGAAAATAAGAAAAAAACTCACGGCGTTTATTTTAAATCTCCAAAATAATTCAAGAATTACAGACACAAGTCCTAGTAATTTAAAGTCCTGAATAAATCTCAGTTCAAGTCCCGAAGAAATCCAAAAGCTGAAGGCCATACCGAGTCTATTATGGTTTTTATTGACAGGCCATAGAACACAATTAAATTTACTATATAGTCTCTACATTTGTTTCTCAGTACTGAACTTTCCACTGTGTGACAATCAATACAAATCATATGTTAATCTAAAATACCTTCAAATATGACTTTACGGTGAAGTTCTTGTCAAGGGTTGACCTGCATTTTTTTGAGAGGCTGAATTGTAAACAAAACACCATGCCACGGAACACAGATTTCACTTCCGGATCATCACCATGACCTTATTACTCAATGTGCACTGTCACCGAAATACACACAGACAACACACCATCAGCTCACATTCTAAAGAATAAACAATTGCCTTTAAATCCTTACTAAGAATGCCAAAATCTAACTCTTGTATCACCACCAAATGGAGACAGGAAAAAGTGATCTAAAAATAGAATGGGACTACATTCGTGGGTTCTGAACCGGATTTTATTAATCGTGTACTGATGCCATAAGTGTTAATATGTCAATATTGTTTTATCACATGACAGTAATATAATTCCAGGTTTGAATTCAGTATAAATTCCGGTAAATGTTTGTATCCAAGAATTTTGTCCCTTTTCAATTTCCAGAAAAAAATAATCACTTGAAATCAATAATTTGAAGGACATAAAATTCAGCCCCACTAGTCACAACATAATACAACTTGAAAGTGATAGATTTTAAGCACGAATGAATGACCAAGTCCTCACATTCACAAAATATGATATAGTTCTCTTTGTGACCTCATGCACAATCAACATTTTCTAGAAGAAAAAAAAAATCGTTTAATGGAAAATAACCTTCTAGAACGATCCTGATGTTCACACAAATCAAATCCATAACCTTCGGAAAGTTTAAAACCCTGACCCAAATAAACATATTTACTTCTTCTATTAATAAAGATCATAATATTAAGCTCATAAAAAAGATAATAATTTAGCTATGCATTGTTTACATAAAATTCAAAACAAAATCAATCAGGTCAAGTAGAAATGAACTCAGTTTTGGACAAGGTCAATACAGCATACAGTGTTACATTACAATAGTATGTAATAAAATAAAATAAATCGATTGTATTTTATTGGTCGCTCTTTGATTTGGGCCGATTGCCTTGCATTCCGAAGAAAGAGTAAAATTTGAAAACTTTTACGAAGTTGCTTATACACAGGAATACACGAGCAGTAGAATGTTCGTTATTTATTCAATTTAAATATGTCTGAGCTCTACACAAAACTCGCAGGCAAGATATAAATGTGTTGCTTTTATGTGTGAGTAATATGGACGAAGTACTTGCAAAATATCGATATTCTTGTTTTTAATCTGAAAATTATGGAAATAACAAATTAGATTTTAATGGACAAATTTAAAGTTGAATTAATTAGCTGTCAGTTTTAGAAATTTCAAGAAGAAATTAACACAGTTGACAATAAGCAATGATTGCTTTCTTTGTCTTTTTTGGGGGAATTAAATTGAACATAAGATCTTGAAGAAGATTGTGCGCGTGCTTTTGTAACAGTAATAGAGAGGTTCAGAGGTTCTATTCCGGTAAAAATCTTATTCCAAAATATTGTCGGTCTTACGAATGTGATAGTAACACCATTATCTATTAAAAAGAAAAAGAAAAAAGCCAGAGACATGGTGGGAATTGGTAGAGACACTGAAACTATTCATAATGTATTGTGGCAAAACTTCCCCTATGCAAAGTAATTACTTTTTTTTAAAATAAAAAAATCTGCAGGCGTCTTACTGTTGGCTTGAGAATGTCTTGAAATGTTGGTCTAAAGAATACCCGCGATCTGAAAAAATGTAACATTGCCTGAAAAGAAAAACTAAAAAGAACAAACTATTTTTCATTATCTCTGAACTTCTCCGAGGTGTGACTCATAAAAGATGTGTGATATCTCATGAAAGGAAAAACAAAGCGAACATCATTGAAAACTTGAGGGCAACTGTATTATATTTAATATGTTCATGATGTTTATCCAATTTAATATCAAACTGACATATCGGACACTTGTGTACCCCCACCCCCAACAAAGTCGGCTTCCTTTGTGACATGTTCTAGACTGACAACTATTAGGTAACTTAGGCACAAGCTATCTATAACTGACGCAAACTGAATGTTGAACTTCATCACTTATTAAATGTAGAAACTACATTCAGATTTATTCTCAAGGTGCTAATCTGCATCTATTCGGCCCAGTGACAAGTGTGTAAGAAACGTTTACTAGGTCCAGCTAGTTTTAACTCTGCCTGGACGATAGGACGAGTGATTTTCCTAAACCCTGTAAGAGCAGCTTTCTTGTGTTTGTGACAGTAATCATTTCAGTTAATGAGTACACACACTTAATTTTGAATCCGAGTAGCAAGAACAGAAAAAAATAAATTATGATACATGTATCCAGAAGATCACACTATTTTAGAACCGAGCAAGTAACAATATTAGTTAGGCAATATTTTACTGTTTTTTTTTCAAAGAGTGATAATCTTAAGTTTAAGTTTTCAATATCTTAAGCTGAAGTATCAATATAATATATAATATATAATCTCCATTAAAATCGCTGTGAAAAAGTCGTCTTTAATATGTTGCAAATACCGTCTGAGTATTAACTTTTACAAGGTTTGCGACTCATTCCATATCTTCCCATCGGATGGTGACTATTTTGTTCCATTCTGATTTGCAGTCGTGGAATCCTCGTTGCGTCATTGCTTTAACAGACAATATTTTAAACTCTAAAACTAAAAGCCAGACGCGGTTACTCGATCTTTGCTTAAAAATAGATCAAGGTGGTAAAAGCAAATATTTTTTTTACTTTATAGTATATAAATTTTTTTTATCTAAATACGAAGATGGCAAATTAAATACCGGTCCACAATGAATGGTGCCAGGTTTTTTGTTAATTTGATATTTTTTATTACCTTATTACCTTGAAAATTGGACCGAAGTCAGACATATAGTCTTATTATACTTCCTCGTTTGTTTGTACCATCTGCCGATTTCAATAATGAAAAGTATAAATTAGATCCGAAATGCACATAAGTTACTCAGTTCATTCATTGATTTATAATTTGTAACGTGTCTTTGTCTAACACCGTCACTGTCTACGCGTTTCATGCTTAACAGAAGTTTTAAATATAGACGATGGCCATGTTACTATAATGTAGGTGTGATATTTCCTATTACCGTTTTATAGCCCAACTTAGCAGCATGTGCAGGATGCAAATAGTAAAACAGCTTGGTGACCTAAAAATTAAATAAGATATATAATAAACAACCTCTGAAAACGAACTATGTCACTATGTCACTCCACTAGCACAGTATAATTGACATATAACTCCTTAACGTTGCAGTGAACTGCTCTTCTTTTTTAATGAGTTCTACTTGATTACCGCCAACTACTTTCAGAAAATAAACATAATTTTCTCTATTATTTATAAATAAAGAATTACTTTCAAAATTGATCTCAAAACAAAACTCAACGGACTTTTAGCATTACCACCATATTCCAATTATTGTTAGAAAATAAATACTACTACTATTATTAATTAACAAATAATTACTAACAAAATATCCATCCAAGAATTTTAATTCCATTTTAGTAAATAAATATAAAAACTTTACAAAATTGTTGCATTAAATAATTCAGATAGATAATAACAACTCCAAAATATAACTAGATAGCGCCAGTCCTTACGAAACAAAGGTATGATTCCAACACAGCTTATATAACTACACCAGGACAAAAATGACTTTGGCAAGTCACTAAAAATAAAAATTATTACCATAACCAGGGGATGGGAGAGGAAACCTGATCAATGGACCTGTGTCCAGAGAAAAGGGAGTACGATCATAAGTTTATGCACGTGAGGTCAATAAAGCAATCTCAAGCTCTAGTGAGTGGCAAGTATTGACCTGAGTATAGAAACCAACCTACTTGCCTGGTTGGGAGGAATAATAGCTCAGAACCAGCATGTAGTGACAACTCAACAAATATGATTAAACGAACTAAAGATTTACCATGACAAAACTTATTCCAATATCTAACTATTATATATTGTTTTTATTCAATTTATATACAAAACACTCTTTGTGGCAGACAAAGGATACACTAATTAAAAAATTACCTCTTGAAAATGCAAAACAGGGTAACAAATCAAACTCATTATCAACTATTTATTGGGACAGAGTTTTGTGGTGCCAAACAAAAGGTTTACCAGAGTTCGCACTAGAACTGCAATGTATGAAAAACTGTTATATGTACAATGCATTAGACTGCTGGGTCATTCCTGGAAATGCATCACAGTGAAACGACAAATCTCTAGTTAACTGCGTGTGGAACGTCTAACATAGCATAAATGTATCTATTTGTTCTGGAAAAGAAACAAGCTTTACAAAACGCCGTAAATCTAGTAAGAAATTGTCAAATTATCTTGGGCGAGGTGGGTGGGATCGTATATTAAGAATGATGGCAACTTACCTTCTATGCGGTTGTGATGTTTTGTAAATATTAATTGTTTTCTTTTTCGATGCTCTTCAAAACATATGTAAAGATCCTACCTGGTCTAAAAGATCAAATTTTAATCATCGTTTCGCCACGGTAGCATAACTAAGGACTAGTTTCAAAGCATTCAATATCAGAAAAAGTACTGACACAATTTCCAAAGCCAAGATCGCGTAACAGTCCCTTAGTATTTAAATACTAAATGTTTTATAACATTGGGATAGCAGTGCAGTCCGTCTCTATTTACAAATCTACCCAATTATCACACATAAAATACAAACTTATATAATTTATTTTCATGAATTGTTGGACTAGAGACTATTCCACCAATCTGATTAAAAGGGACCGCTCCGGTAGCTTAGTGGTTAGAACGTCCGCCTCGTGTGCAGGAAGTCGCGGGATTGAACCACGACCAAATCATAACTAAGGCTTTTAAAAGTGTTACTAACAGCTGCCTCGCTAGGCGATACACATTTAGAGGTCAGTGTTAGGACTGGTCGGCCTGGTGTCAGGATATTGTGACTGGGTGGGCCATCATGCTACATGTCACTATAAACTGTCACACTGCAGATATCGTAGCGATTTGACTGAAAAATTGTTAAAGCTACGTTAAAAATCCAATATATATATATATATATATATATATATATATATATATATATATATATATATATATATATATATATATATATATATATATATATATATATATATATATAACTCGAAGATATAAGACTTCATCTGATTGGCTGATAAAATTAGCAATTATTGTATTAACATAGGTTACCAGAACATGACCCCTAAGCGTTCACGTAGAACAGTGGAGATCTGATTTTAAGCAGATAGACTATTCCACAGAATAGTACGAGTAGTACCAGAATGGCTGTTATAGATTTATATTGCTGATTAAGGCCAACGTCCTTTATATCACATGCCTTTACAATATCTACCCACGCGTAACACACGTGAACTATCTTGCGCAGGAAAATCCGCATGTGTAAATATTTTACCCTTTGATCACATAAAGATGTTTGTGATGCAAAATATAGCATTGTATGTCTATAATGCGTGCTTAACTTTGTTTTAACATTGTTAAAGAGGCACAAAATATGCATGATTACTCAAATACCTATCCGGAGCTTCTTGATAAATTAACCTACTTATGAATTATTTTGGAACAAAAAATTATATAAACTTGTTCAGGCTCATGAGGAAAAGCGTGAAAAGCCATTGTATGATATTGTGCAGAAAGATGAAGTCGCTGACCTTGACTAGACCACCAAGTTTAGATAATGAAACAAGTAGAGAATACTCCAATGATGACCCTGAACAAATCAGTGTATATAGTAGCAGGAACGAAGATCACTAAGTATGAATTACTTACAGAAATTTCTTCAGCATAATATATACAAACACGATTGACACCCATGTACATTAAAATGAATTGATTTATATTAATAAAGAACACAAGAAATTGTATGAAACCCTACAAAATTGTAGCATTTCTTTGGTGAGACTTTTTTCTATGTAAATATATAGAACCCATACAGTAAATACTCGGCAAAGGCACAATATTTATACACAAGTTTAAGTTAATAAACATGAACTGTCATAAGTCAAAATTTTAGTGCAATTCAGCCAACAATGGGTCGCCATTTTCTAGTTGGTATCATGCATTATCTCAACTGTAAACGTACGGTGGTTTTACTAAATACTTGAAGAAAATTGTATTTCCACAAGAACATAGTTTTAATACTAAACTTCGACGGCTGTCGTGTGGTTAGATATCTTGTTTATTACATGGGACGAAGTCACATTTTAATCAGTACCTTCCAAATCGCCAAAACTTGCATCTGGGAATAAAAAGAAATTAAAATAAATACTGTATATTCTAATACATTTAATATGCAAGTACACTTACAGATTATGGACATCACGTTTGGAAGAGTAAGAGTCTATAGGAAAACAAAGTTATTTTGCCCACCACTATTACATAGGTTTTAGGATTACATTTACATACTAATTAAATGAAATCGTACGCACGCACACACACACACACACACACACACACACACACACACACACACACACACATATATATATATATATATATATATATATATATATATATATATATATATATATATATATATATATATATATATATATATATATATATATATAATAGAGTTACGAGTTTGTGCTTTTTAAGTAATACCAGAGATTAATTATGGTTTGGACGTCTTATAATATCATATGTGTTTAAAATTCAAAATTCAAGGATCAATTTTTTTTAAAAAAAATATTTTGAAATATATCATATGATAATAAAACTTGGTTTTAACCTGAATGGGTGTTTGTTTCCCTGGTAATTGATTTTTCTCAACTGGACAACTAATTATTAGATATTTTTGACAGTTGTAACAGCCCAAGTCTCCACATATCTAACAGCAAGGTGGAATAGGTTAGATAAAAATAAGATTATATTGTGACATTTTGAATTAAAATGATATTTATATATTATTTCAAGGTTTGTCAATACTGTATTTTTTGTTTCACGGTAAGAAGACGGAATGAACGAGATCAATTCTAATTTCTTTGAATAATGGTTGCAATAATGGCAAAGTAAGGCAAAAGGAAGAAGATACATGTGAATCTGTTATGTACTACGCTTTAGAACCAGCCTGAAAAGAACCTAATGGCTGTCACTTGGAACACTATACCAGTCTAATTTATGACCTGTGTAGCAACTTTAACCTTCATCAGATGACTGATGACTAAGAAATAAATGGATACGTCTCAAAGTCTTTCGTCCTCAGTCTTCAAAATACTATAATTTTCTTTTCCTTCCATATTTACAAATTTCATTATTTTGCACCATGGGGGGTTCCTGTCCCCACCCGGATTAGTGAGCAACAACAATTAACAACAACAATATCAGCAACGAACGATACACGTAATATATACATCTTTTCTTAATTATGCAATTTATACGCAAGATTATAAGTTTGTTCTTATTTAATATATGTAGAAAAAAAAAAAACTACCATATTTTCAGGAGCCACCGTGGGCCCAATGTTTGATACGACCCCTTTCAAGCACACGTTCCTTCTTTGCGGATGAATAATTTCCCTTTAAATCGCTGTGGGGGGGATGATTTTTCAATTTCAGGGAAATATTGTCTGAGAAATAATGATTTACCTGGTTTATGCATCATCCCTTGGCAACTAGGCATTATATCTAATTAAAATGTATCGTAAAACAGATTTGTTAATAATATAAAAATCTGTTATTTCTCATTACTTTATCGAGCCGTATGTGTAGTATGCAAATAAGGGCAAAGCTTCCTGAACACAAAATAAAATGGTATGTATAAAATATCGGTGTTTTTTATTTGCTATCCCATGTACAAGATGCCTGTGCATACGAGTTTCGGGCGTCGGAATTAAATTGCGTTTGTCCGCTGTATTCCCTAGATTAGGGATACCAGCGTAAAACCGCATTTTTGAGTTCGACGGTTTAAACTCTTTAGTCACAAGGTATTGGGAATGCTTGGACATTCCTGGGATTAACATTCAGAATAATGGCAAATGAAATAGGACATCCTAAGGTATGAACTAATTGTCAGTTATTGAAGAAAAACATTTAAAAAAAAAAAAAAAATCTTTGGTCACTCTAATAAGATTTTAGAATATCTGAGGGAAATTTATATAAAGGCAATTTTGGTAACGCATTCTCTACATCGGTACGAGTGCGCTATAACTATTCGTATATTTGTCCATGCTATTTGTACAAATCGTGACATGTCTCAAAGAACAAATGCTAACCATCCGCCATAGTTGCATAAATGCATTAATGGTAGTTGTAAAATAATCCAGAACAAATAATTGTTAATCCAATATCAGAAAAATTAGTGACATTTGCAAGAGCAAGGTGGTGTTTCATACGCCGAGGGATATTTCCTTAGTATTTACACATTCGAAATGTATTATTACAGTGGAAAAACACTGTTGTCTTTCTTTTATTAGGAGTATGTGGTCTACAAAAAATAAGCAACATAAAAAACAATACCAACAAGTTTAGTAAATATCAACAAGTAATTAATTTCCTTAGAATACAAGGTATAATTTTAAAAGGAACTTACTCTAATTTCAAATAAATCCGAAAAAATCCTAAAAGTTATATCACATGTCCAATAGTATCGAATGTTCCAAATGAATTCCAGCATTGAAGGTGCTAATGTGTCATAATGATATAATCCAGACTGTCTTTAAATGAATTCACAATAATCGCCAAATAGTGATATTAACTGTCAATGAGAACGTTATTATTCCAATGATTTTTAAAATAAACCATTCTAATTCTAACCCTCTCTAATTCTATCTAAATACAAATAGAAGCGAGTCCACTAGACTGGTTTTAAATGAGGAATAAATAACTTTGTTGATCAAAAACCTTATGTAAAAAATAAGATAACCAGGATGCGGGTCAATTTTATAAACAAGTCATCTTTTTATAACCTTCTAGAGTCAAAAGACCATGTAAGCATGTTTTTTTTTTCTATCTAGTATGTTATTTATTAATGACCCTAACAATCCACGATCATGGACAAATCTTAAACACAATATAGATACACAAAACCTCTCCGTCATAAGAAAATTAGACCTTTGTACAATAAAGTTTCTTTTACATATTAGTCAAATATACATATGATAGTATAATAATTAAAAATACATAGGTATATGTCTTATGAATGTCAAAAGATATACTAAGACTAAAGTAATATAACATTTATATACACGTGAAAGTGTTATCTATAATCAGATTATCTTCCCTTTGATTAGCCTAATGTCAATGGTGTAGCATACATCAAACTCTACCTTAACAATCTGATTTTCTTTTCATATTTTTAATAAAATGAAGGGTTGTTGCAAAGCCAGTATCAAAACAAAATATTCCTTCTCGATTGTTGAATAATTTCTCTGGTGCTTATTTAATTGTTGTTTGAAAAAATTCACACCGGATGATTCATCTTTTTGTATTTTTCGACCAATACTCCACCTCCAAAATCACTTGCATCAAATGAGTTAAAATAACTAGCGCTCTTCTTAATATGGTCTTCAATTTATCAAAAGCCTCCTGAAATTTGTCACAAATGGAAGCCGATTTTTTTTATTGGAGGTTCCGCATTTATAAAAAAAAAATTGAATAAAATTTCCGATAATATCTAGCCGTACCCAAAAATCGCACCAGTTGCTTTTCCCTTGACCATAATTCTACAGATTTAACTGTATTATGTCCCGCAATTCACTTCTTCGATAACCTCGCGCTCAACAGTCTAAATTTTAAACCGCTCTTTAAGCGAGAGCGCTAGTGACCACCCAAAAATAATATCCGCTAGACGTTGAGAAAACCGCATG